CGACAGCACATATTAAAACATAACCATAATGCAGCCTTGGCTAGAAGTACAATCCTTTCCTTCGAAATTGATATGCATTCGGTGGAACAATCGATATATCGAACAGTATCGAAAACGTTCAATTTTTAAGAGTCGAAACGACTTCGATATTATTTACGGCAAGAAATTCTAGCTACATATCATATATACAATTCAATATTCTTTGTTTTAGATTCCTTTTCCATATATTAAACGAAAAAAAAACCTTAACAATTTCATTTATGTTAATAAAATATTTTATTTTTTGACGAATTAATCATCGATTAATTCACAATGAGCAGAATTTAAAGAATAAAAATTGTAAATATATAATTATTATCGTCAATCTTATCTTTTTTTTATATATAAAATAACAAGAAATTAATTCTATGCATACTAAAATTACTGTCGAAATTATTTGACGAGTTAATGAAATTTATTTTAAATATATAATTCACTATCTTCAATCTAATCTCTTTGTTACATATATGTCAAACAACAAAAAAATTAAGTCTGTCCATATTAAAACATTATTCATGTTGAAATAAAGATTACTTCATGAGTTAACAGGCGATTAATTTAATCGGCAAAATTATTCAAAGCAAAATATGTAACCAGACTTTTATATTGTACAAGTCTATGTTTCTAACTGTATATATAATTCTTTGTTTTCAAATTAATCTTTTTTTTGTTTGTTACACAACAAAATTTCTAATTCTATTCATATTAATAAAATAATATTTTACCTTATCAGCTTTTTTTTCTTTAGCCACATATTTATTAGATTAAAATTCAAATTATAATAGACTTTATAAATAAGTCAAATTATTAGACAAAAAGAACATAAAAGCCAACGATGCATCTTTTTAAAAAATTATTCTATTATTATTCAAATATATAATTTAAATACACATACTTTTGTATTAAATTTTATCATATACTTATATATTTGACTAATAAAAAGATACTGTTTTTTTCAGTATAACTAGATGATAATTTTATCTATTTTTTTGCTTTTAACAAGACGCTTAAATATAACATAACGTTGTGAATTATCGTTGCAATTGACTTATACAATTATTTTGATTAATTTGTGAATTGCTAACGATTGTTACTTCTATTATTTTGTCTTTAATGTAACGCTTTTTTTGGTCAAATTATATTTAAGCGATCATATTTTAATACGACGTGCGCACGTTCTTCTTTTGGTACAATAAATACGTCACGTTTTACGCTTTATATATAAACGTACATTTATTTCTTGTAATTATTTGACTGCAGAAAAGATGTATAGTCGAAACGTTCCATGCATTGTATTAACTAATTCTTTAATCTCTCTTGACGATTTAATAAACTGATTTTAATGTTTGATCTATTCATTAAAACTCGTTTGTTCGACCTTTCTACCAATTTTATATTTACATTGCAATTTTATACTTAGAAATTGATATTATAATTAATGATTATTCAAAGATAAGTTAACTATACTTAAAGATTGGCAAATTCTCAAAAACAATATTGATACGATTACATAACATTTCCAAATACATATATACATAATAAAATAATTTTTGACAAATCTGAGCATAAAACAACTTTGAAAACCTTCACAGAAATTTAATATTAAAACGCGTACTAATTATTTTTTTAGTATTAAATTAGCCAGTACTAAAATGCATTTCTAAAGAAAATTATAAAACTTTTGTTTAAATTTGTTCTTCTTATATTTCTCATTATTCTGACGACATATTTAGAGAAACATTTATTATTCTTTCCAAAACATTTTGCCATCAGTAACGGACATAACAGTCTATGAAAAACTATCCCTACTGAAAAACATACGTCACATGGTTGCACGATAAAATCACGTAATTAAAACATGTAAATCGCATAATGGATTGTTCCAAATCAGTACATGATTTCAAAATTATGTATTTTGAAAAGTCATACGATGATATATTCTTTTTTCTTCTATTTCTATCATTCAATTCTTTAAAATTCTACATAACATCTATATAACTATAACATCACATGGATGAAATTATTTATAATATTATGTGATTTTAGAAATTACATTACTTTAAAAAATCACATAGTGATTTAGAATAATCCTCCTTACGTGATTTACATGTTTTCAATACATGATCTCATTATTGTAACTTTATGATATGATTTTTGTCAATAGGAATAGATATATTTGTCTTGGCCGCTTGTTTCAGTCAATTTGTTTTCTCTATCTGATCTATATTGGCATGTAGGTATCTAAAGGTCATCAAAATCAGAAAAACATAGGTATCTTCTGGTAAGAAAACAGAAACGTCTCGAAGCGATACACATACATCAGTCAGTAGTTGACCGCGAATCTAGACACATCGTGAAGATACTTTCGTCAGGAAACGTTTGTATTATTTCGAGAATATGTTTACAAAACATATAAAGGTATATAATCGCGCAAATATCGTCAACGTCTCTTTTAAAACGCGAGGAAATACAATTTTAAAACATTACAATTTTAAGAGACTACACTTTACCATTGGATATTTTTCAGTTATATTGTCGCGATTATTATCCGTTCGATGCATTGTGCCAGATTTACATATGATTTTATGAAATCACGTAAATCTGTACTTTAGAATACAAGTCTTGTCCATCATGAATCGATGAATCGCGTCGATTCCAGTCTGCTTTCGTTTTCGTGATATTGAATAACCGAAATGAAAAAAAGATTAGAATATTCAGAATCTACATGTATACTACATTCGTGTTCGATAATCGCTATTATATGTATGTTGATATTTTCATATCGTAAATGATTCGCGAGTATTCCGGAGTATCACAAATCAGCGTAAAAGTAAAATATTAGTGATATAAATCGTGTAACATTTAACGACTTATATCGTTACATCGTTGCGCAGATTTCATATATAGTATACCCTAAAATTTTTAGAGTGGTTCTCGTTCTGAAGAAATCCCATTTTTTAAATTGAAAATTGAGCTACTTTTTTCAAGACTGTCCCAATTTTCAATCTTTAGAGTGAGATTTCATCTCAAAGAATTTAGAGAATGAAAAAGCTACGCTATGACCATATAATGATATCATTATTGCCGATAAGAATTAGGAATACAAAATAGAGACCTAAATCAATATTAAAAGGCCGAATCTATAAAAATTAAGTTCTCGTTTCCTTAGATCGCGCAATTGCTTTTGTATTGTGTCATCGTACAAAGTTACATAGCAGTTGAAAATAGATTAAAAGAAGACACTACTTTCCTTCAAGACCGGTGTAGTGATAAAATTTATGATAATAAAAATGGAGGCAATGGTTCATTCGAGTACCATCTGCTTTCTTACATATGGTTATCATATAAGTGGAGCAGTACTAAATCTTATAACTCAAACATCAGAGGCAGAACTTTCAGTGAGCATTCACTGGAAGATCAACCTTCAGTGCCCGTAGAAAAAAGTGACAATAAAGTAAAAGGTAAGAAAGATTGATTTTTTGTTATAGAGAGACGCAATAAATCACACCGTAATAAAAATATTGTGTCATATGTATCCTATGATTTATTACGTAGATCGAAAGATAACCGCCAACGAACTCATAAAGCGCACTAAGTTGATCGTAACCGACATGAAGAAATTTAAAAAAAATGCAAAGAATGCTAATTTCTCTCAAAACTTTAAAGAAGCCAACTTCGACGCAGATCTTTTGCTTACCTTCGTAATGATGATTTATCAATGGACCTCCGATGTAGCAATCCTAAGTACTATCGGCAATGCATATTACGAGGAAATCTTCAAGCTTCCAGAAAGATGTACACTACAGACTAACTACACACTGCAAGGTGAGACAGATTTTTTTATTGTAGAGAAGCGTAATATTGCGTCAAAGTGAAATTGTTTTACAAGAATCTCAATCTTTTATGCAGATCGTATAGTAAGATCCTCCGATATCATAAGCACCATTAAAGTGATCCAAAATCAATTACATAAAATGAAATCAAAGGAATTGGAGAAAAAGAGCTACAACACAATAGAACGTAAGAGAAAGATTTTTCGCGCAATATCGCGACAAAGTAAAAATATTACTTCACCAGAATATTAATTTTTCATGCAGGTAATTTGAGAACGGCCGAACTGCTCATAAAACTTATTAAATCGATCGTATTTGAATTAAACTATTTAAACGTACTTGAGAAACTAAATTCTAAGGAAACTGTATTATCGTTACATCTCAATAAAGACATAATCAAACTTCAATTGTTCGCATATAAATGGGTTCTTAATATACGTTATCCGAATATCCACAAAAAATCTATCAAAAATAAGAACTCCCAGCCTCCATTGAAAGATCAGTCTTCACTGCCCATGGACAAACATGACAACGAACCGACCTCTTACCGAGGTAAGAGAAAAATTTTTTGCAGTAGAAAAGTGCGATATCGCAACAAAATAAATATATTGTACAAAAATCTTGATCTCTTATATAGATCAGGAGAAAAACGCCGCAGATGTCTTGAAGCGCGAGAGTAGATCGTTGACGACCGAGGGAAAGACGATCGATGCTTCTACTAAATTGGTGTGCGAATTCAAAGAAACTATACATCACTCATTAGAAATGGATCTATACGTTTTCGGAGTGCTATCATTTGATTGGTTTTCTTCTCAGGACTATACTGTTGGAGGAAGATCTTTAAATGACTTTCAGCTTACACTGGAAGATCAGTTTTTCTCATTGCCTGTGGAAGAGAGCGACTCTGAAGGTGAAAGAAAGATTTTTTTTGCCCATAGAAAGGAACGATATCATAAAATATCAATATAATCTGCCAAATCTCGATTTTTTTCACAGATGACGAAATAACCATCAAAGACTTCATGGATAGTGTTAAATTAACTAAACGTCGAATCGAAAACTTAAAGATATCCGAGGAAACTACAATGGACACTGATAACGAATCCTCTCAAAAATTACAAAATGTCAAGGGACACATACATGTCAAAAGATCTAACGTTGATTCAAACAAAAAATACTTGAACTTCCTTCGAGTAAAATATGAATTGACAATATATCGGTGGATTTCTAATATAATAATTTACAATACCATTAGCAAAATGTCTCTCGGTGACATCTTTCCACATCTACGAGAATGTCAACCTATGTTTCCCGTAAAAAAGACTAACGAGCAACTAAAAGGTAAGAGAAAATTTTTTATTTATCGCCCAATATCAATACAAAGTAGAAATATTATTTCACGAATATTTCGTTCTTTTACAGAATTTGAGGAAATAAGTGATGAAATCATTGATCTCATCCAATTGCTCCAGACAACTGCCTCCAAAATTTGAAGACACTTATACAACACATATTGGCGATAAAAATAATATATTCTTTAAACAGTTTAAACATAATGATTTCTCAAAGCATTCAAAATATTCCGTTCAATTTATATTGCATTTGATATTAAGAATCCACTGAATAAGGATTATTGGATTATAGCGAAAGAAGTGAAAAATCATGTATTTCTTTCCTTTCATCGACATAAATATATTTTATCAATTTATTGCATTAATCTATGAAATTATGTCGCGATCTATTTTATTTTATAAATTAAAAATAAGTATGTAAAGGACGTAATTTATATAGGTTTATGTATAACTGGAAAATGTAATAAGAATTTATTCAGAAATATTATTCAATCTTAAAATCTGATTTAACTGAATAGCCTTTCCACTTATTTATATTATCATTTACATGTAGGTCTTTGTTATTTGTTATTATTGTTGTATATTGAGATCCAAAAGATTTATCGTGAACTTGCAGCGAAAGACAAAGAGCTTCTTAGGCTATTATATAATATCTTCGAGGCATGAAGACGAGTAAGAGTATCCGAGGTGATTTGGAATTCCACCCTACGATAGAAGAAAGGACGAATTGTTTAAAATTAAGAACCCGATTATCTGACAACGATCTCTTCTACTTCTTGCCAATGAAATTCATTATCTCTGACAACGTTATTAGTCGTGTAATTTTCATGCGAAAACTGCAATTTATCAGATAAAAAGTCGTATTTACAATTTGTGGCTGTAATACAAGATCGGATGAATTATTACTCGCATATCATTGTCTTGAAATTAAAATTCTTTATTAAAATTCTTCGTTTGAAATATTGTTAATAATCTCGTGCTATTATTACATATAAAGATAATGTAATAATATAATATTCTGAAAAAGCACGTATACGATTTGAAAAATAGAAAATTGTATTTTAACTTATATTGTATTTTAATTGTATTGCAACATCTTTGGACTAATTTTATTAAAACAACTAAAATTTTTTAAATTCAATGCACATTTTGATAAGATCTCAACAGAATAACATTGCTGCAAGTTTTATGCTATTGCGGGTAATTTATGTTCAACAATAAATTTTTTCAAAATTTTGATTATTTTTTTAACTTATTAATTATTATGTAATTATATATTAAATCTGAAATCATGTTGATATAGAATTAAATAATTCCATTATTTAATGTCTTTAAATTTGATGTACATACATTATACGCAGAGTCTGAAGGAGTTAATCAGGACAGATTGATTAGTCCGGTCAATCAACTTAGAAGAAATTTTGTTGGATCTTTCATCATCGGAATGAATATTTGAAGTAGATATGCATTCATTGACATATGATTTAAACAAATGTGGCATAAAAATTATCTGCGACAAAAACTTGCAAAGTTTAATATGATAGACTGATTTGGATACTTTTTCAAATTCAAAATTTAATTATGTAATTATTTATTTATCACAATGTATACTTGAGCGAGCACACAAACGCATGTGGGTGCACAAATTAAAAGTACATTTTATTTCTTAAGTTTATAAATAAAATAATAATCATTGATCTAAGAATAATTTAAGCGAATGTTAAAGATAATATTGTTTTTTAGTAAAAAATAATTAAAATTATTTATTCTGTAATGTGAACTATAGATTTTCAGTACTAACAATGTGTATTAGAACCCGATCAATGTTCTCCGGAAATGAGAGCTCATATATAAGTAATTTTAATTGCCTTTTACAAAAAACTAATTATAATTATCTTTAATTATATTTTTCTAAAATACTATAATTCTCTGCAGTATAATGTAAATTATAAATTTTCAGTACCGACAGCGTATATTAAAATATGATCATAATACAGCCTTGACTAATATAATCTTTTCTTTCCAGACTCAAATTGATGCTCAGTAAAACAATCGATAAATCAAACAGTTTCAACAATAGTCAATCTTCAAGAGTCAAAACGACTTCGATCAAATTCGAAAACTTTGGATTTAACCGACGACTTAAATTTAACCTATATTATTTATAGCAAGAAACTTTAGCTGCATATACATATATATAATTCGATATTTTTTGTTTTAAATTTCTTTTCCATGTATCAAATCGAAAATTAATAATTTCATTTATGTTAATAAAATATTTCAATTTTTGACGGGTTAATCATCGATTAATTTACAATAAGCAGAATTTAAAGTATAAAAATTATAAATATATATTATTATTATCGTCAATCTCATCTTTTTTTCACATATTAAATAACAAGAAATTAATTCTATATATATCAATAAAGTAGAAATTATTTGACAAGTTAATCATTGATTTGTTCAACTTATATAGAATTGTTTGAAACAGAATTACTTCTTTTAAATATATAATTCAATATCCTCCATAATCTTTTTTCATATATGTCAAACAAAAATTAGTTTTATTCGTATTAAAACATTATTCATGTTGAAATAAAGATTATTTCATTAATTAACAGACAATTAGATTAATCGGTAGAATTGTTCAAAGCAAAATTTGTAAACTTTTATGGTAAAGAAATTTATATTTCTAATTATATGTATAATTCTTTGTTTCCAATCTAATCTTTTTTTATTTGTTACACAACAAAAAATTCCTAATTCCGTATTAACAAAATAATATTTTATCTCATCAGCTTTTTACCTTGGCTATATATTTATTAGTTTTAAATTCAAATTGTAATAGATTTTATGAATAAATCAATTTACTAGACAAAAGGAGCAAAAGCAAACCCTGGATCTTTTGCAAAAAATTATTCTATTATTATTTAAATAATATAATAAAATAATTTATATAATAAAATAATAATACAATAAAATAATTTTGTTTTTTAAATAGATAAAATTGTCGTTTACTTATACTGACAAAAACAGCGTCGTTTATTAGTCAAATATATATATATATTATCAACTCACGGTTAACTCTTAAGAGAATTATTCAACATATTTCTCATCTTCTTTCAATTCTAGAATTGAAAAGAGATAATAAATAAATTGAACTCCTCAATTTTTAAAAAAATTTTAAATTAAGAATTTATCTTAAGTTGTAAAACTGGGCCTTAAAGATTGGCAAATTCTCAAAAACAATATTGATTACAGAACATTTTCAAATGTACATATATATAGGTAATATAATAATTTTTAAAAAACTGAGCATAAAACAAACTTTAAAACTTCATAGAAATTTATATTTATAGAAATATTGGAAGACATTGATATTAATCTTTTTTTTTTTTATATTAAATTAACCAATACTGAATTGGATTTCTAAAGAAAATTATAAAACTTTTACTTAAATTTGTTCTTCTTATATTTCTCATCGTTCTAACGACATATTTAGAAAAATGTTTATTATTTTTCGCAAAACGTGTCTTCTGTAACGGACATAAGCCTACAAAAAACTGTAGATACAATGTCTTGGTCGCTTATTTTAATCTCTTTGTTTTGATCTATACTAGTATATAGATATTCAAAGTCAATAAAATCAGGGAAACGTACTTATAAGTTCTTATAAGAAAGCAGAATGTCTCAAAACAAGACACATCAGTTAGTAATTGATCGCAAACCTAGGCACATCGTGAAAATACATTCGTTGGGAAACATTTGTATTATTTGAGAAATATGTTTGTAATATTCGAGAATATGTTCACGAAACATATAAAGGTATGTAATCGCGCAAACATCGTCGATATGGTTCTCTTTTAAAACGCGTGTAAATATTACAATCTTAAGGTGACTACCATTTCACCATCAGATATTTTTCACTTGTCGCGATAATTATCCATTTGATGCATTATGACCGATTGAATATAATTTTATGAAATTACGTTATTAAATCGTTATTAAATATACTATTATTAAATCTGTACTATAGAACGCTAGTTTCGTACATCAGCGAATCGCGTCGGTTCCAGTCTGCTTCCATTTTCGTTGTGTTCAAAAAACGGAACAAAAAAAGCCTAAAATACTCAGAATCTACATGTATACACTCGTGTTCGATAATCTCTATCATATATATGTCGATATTTTCATATCGTAAGTGATTAGAGATATTCCGGAATATCGCAAATTGGCGTAAAAATAAAATATTAGTGATATTTTTTTTAAATTCTGTAATGCCTATTCAGTAACAGTACCGTTGAGCGGGTTTTAAAGTATTCCTTAAAACTTTTAGAGTGATTCTCGTTCTAAAGAGTAAAATAATCGTATTTTTAAGGAATGAAAATTAAGCTACTTTTTTTCAAGACTGTCTCATTTTCAATTTTTAGAATAAGATTTTATCTCAAAGAATTTAGAGTGTGAAAAAGCTGTGCTATAACCATATAACAATATCATTATTGTCGATAAGAATTCGGAACAAAATAGAGACCTAAATCGACAATAAAAGGCCTTATAAATCTATAAAAATTGAGTTCTGATTTTTTTAGATCGTGCAATTATTGCTTTTGTACTGTGTCGTCGTACAAAGTTACGTTATACCTGAAAATAGATCGCTGAGAAAAGATGCTAATTCCTTTCAAGACTTATGTAATGATATTGATGAGGAAAATGTAACCCTGAAATTGAGGATTAAATTCAGGACCAATCTATACTCTTTCTTTTGGTTAGCATATAAGTGGAGCAGTTCTTTACCCTATCATTCAAACGGAGGAAGATCTTTTAATCTGGAGCATTCACTGGAAGATGAAAATTCAGTGCTTGTAGAAGAAAGCGATTATAGAATAAAAGGTAAGAGAGAATGATTTTTGTGTCACGGATATCACGCCATAATGAAAATATTATTTCACATATACTTTGATTTTTTACATAGATCGAGAGATAACCGCCGACGACATTATACAGTACATTGAGGTTATCACGTCCTCGTTAGACGATTTTCGTGAAAATGTAATTGTAAAGGATGCTGTTACTGAATCCTCCCCTAACTTGAGCAAAGATATCGAGATACACCTAACACGATTCGTAATAATGGTATATCAATGGTCCTTCGATGTAATGACTCTAAATATTCTTGATAATTCATATCACGAGCGTTTCGTAAATATGCGAAACAGCTGTATATCTCAACTTAAGAACTACACACTGGCAGGTGAGAGAGATTTGTTGTCGTAGAGGAGTGCAATATTGCACCCAAGAAAAATTTTTTCATAAAAATCTCAATCTTTTGCAGATCGTTTAGTAAATTCTTCCGATATCATAAGTGAGATTAAAATAATCGTAAACAAGGTAAATGAAGAACCAAAGAAATTATCCGAGGAAAAGAAATTATCGGATATGGCCTACGCTCTCTTAATTCTGATTACATCGATCGAATCAGAATTAGATGAGAGACTAAAATTTGAGGAAAATATAATATCGACACGTCTCAATAACGAACTATTCAGGTTCCAATTTATTGCATATACATGGGTCCTTCATATACGTTATCCGAATATTTTTAAGAATTCTGTCAATAAGAACTCCCAGTCTCCACTAGAAGATCAGTCTTCAAGGCCAATGGGAAAAAATGATAACAGACCGACAGGTAAGAGAAAAATTGTTTGCCATAGAAATGAGCGATATCATATTAAAATATTATTATACAAAAATATTGATCTCTTGATCGATATAGATCAGGAGAATAACACCGCAGATGTTTTGGAGCATGAGAATAAGTCATCGACGATCGAAGGCATCGATGTTTCTACTAAATGCAAATTCAAACAAACCATACGTCACACATTAGAAATGCAGCTATTCATTTTCACACAGATAACACATGAGTGGTTATCTGATTTTCTTATATACGGTTCAAATACCGCTAGAGGAAGATCTTTTAATGACTTTCAGCTTCCACTGGATGAACAGTCTTTCTCATTGCCCATGGAAGGTGAGAGATAGATAGTTTGACCGTAGAGAGGCACGATATCACGTCAAAATGAAAATTATTTCACAAATATCTCGATTTTTTTCACAGATAAGGAAATAACCATTAAGGACTTCATGGACAACGTTAAATTGACTAAACGTCAAATAAACGAAAACTTAAAAGCAGTAAAGGAAATTATAATGAACAAAGATAACGATTTCCTCCAAACATTACGGAATCTCAAGAATCATACACATCATAAAAGATCTGCCATTGAAAACCACACAGAAGAACTCAAGTTCTTACAAGCCGTTCGATTAGAGTACATAATGGTGATATATCGGTGGCTTTCTAATATGATAATTTCCACTATCATTGGCGAAACGTCTCTCGGTGATTTCCTTCCACATCTATTGAAATGTCAACGTACATTCCCCGTGAAAAATATTACTACGGAAATAATAGGTAATAGAAAATTTTTTATTTGTCACACACACACAATACACACCAACCAAAGTAGAAATATTATCGTATTTCACAAAAATCTCGTTTTTTTTACAGAGTTTCAGGAAATAAGTCAGGAAATCATTTATCTCACCAAGTTGCTCCAGGCAACTGCCTCCGAAATTTGAAGACACTTATACAACACAACTGGCGACAAAAATAATATATTCTTTAAACAATTTAAACATAATAATTTCTCAAAGCATTCAAAATATTCCGTTCAATTTATATATTGCATTTGATATTAAGGATCTATTACTGCGATTATTAGATTATAGCTAAAGAAGTGAAAAATCGTCTGTTTCTTTTCTTCCATTGATATAAATAAATTTATTAATTTATTGCATTAATTTATAAAATATATGTCGTGGTCTATTTTATTTTATAAAATAAACTAAAAATAAGCATATAAAGGACGTACGTTATCTAGTTTTATGTATATCTGGAAAATGTAATAAAAATTTATTTAGAAATATTATTTAATCTCAAAATCTGATTTAACCTGAATTAGCCTTTTTACTTATTTATATTATCATTTACATGTAGATCTTTGTCTGTTGTTATTGTTTATTTCGTTGTACGAGATTCAAAAGAAAGATTTATCGTATAACTAACTTGCAGCAAAGGACAACAAGCTCCTTACCTAAGCAGAATAACAACTCATTATAATGTCAAAATGATTCCAAAATGATCATTAAAAGTCATTTTTCAGTCATTTCCAATTCATTTTAATATCATTTTGACATTATCATGACTTGTTGTTCTGCTTGGGTAGGCTATTATATCTTTGAGGCATGAAGACGAGTAAGAATATCCGAGTGGTTTGGAATTCAACCCTACAGAAAAAAATCTTATAAAATTAATAAGAACCCGAATATCTGACAACGATCTCTTCTGTCTCTCGGCAGTGAAATTCGTTATCTGTGACAACACTATTAGTCATGCAATCTTCGTGCAATAACTGTATACAATTTAATAGTTAAAAAAACTTATATTTACAATTTGTTTTTGTAGCATAATCGGGTTATTACTCGCATATTATTAAAATTAAAATTGAAATTAAAATTCTTTATTAAATTCGTTTAAAGTATCCTTTTAGTAATCTCGTGCTATTATTTCATATAAAGATAACATAATAAAATAATATTCTGAAAAAGCACTTGTATATAATTTAAAAAGTATATACTTTGACAGTATTTATACCTTAAATATATATCCTAAAAATATAATATACCTTAAAATATTAATATATCTTAAATTAATATATCTTAGAAATTAATATACCTCAAAAATTGGCAATATATATGTAGGTAAGTTTAGTAATGATTGTATTTTTTAAGTCTCTATAATTGCTAAAGACTTTAATGCATATAAGTAATTGATACATATATCTATAATTATAGAGACTTTGATACATACTATAATAATTATGTTTGATAAAAACGATCTGAAAATTGGCATAAAGAAACATAACTTCATAATTTTCTAAGATATTATAAGATAAATATTATAAGGCAAAATTCACTAAATTAACTTGTTTAAATTTTCAATTTTGTTTATTAAAATTTAACAATTTTTATTTACATATAATAGAAGATGCAAAATTAATTTTTTTTTGTTCAAAGATCTATTAAATTAGCCCTTCTATAGTCGACATGCTTTTATCCTGAAGATTTAGTACAGAGATGAATCATATCTACTTTCAACAATATGATTTTATCGATGTTATCAGAGAAAGTACGAATGTCACGTAGTTTCCAAACTGGAAATGGATATATTGGCAGTAGTGTACGGGCAATTTCGACGAAAAAGCATGCCTCTCTCATATTTTTTTCTGCTATAAGTAATATCACCGACGAGATACTAAATATTAAAGACCATGGTGGAAGGATTGTCAATCTCTTCCACAATGATTAATTAAAAACCGACATCCTTACGGGAGTTCGCATCTTGTGAATATTGAAATGATTAAGAGTTAAAAACTGATAATATTAAACTAATTTTATAATTTATTAGTTTAGTAAACGTATTTACGCATTTAGAACACTCAATAATAGAATACTCAATTTTTCTTTAAAATTATGATTTTAGTGTTATCGTCAAAGTTTGATTATCGACAGAGATGATAACTGCAGAAAAAAAATTGTAATTTTTCTCCAATATATAGAATATTATAGTTTTAATAAGTATGCATATTTATTTATGTAATAAAAATCATGAATTTAATAATGTATGAGCCAAATATTTATGTTAATAATGGCAAACTTATATCAATCGTCGATAATGTCAGCGTTCTTCAATTACCTCCGAACCCTTTGTGCCCTTTTTATGCCACTAAAAATTTGGATTGACGGTATCTTTAATAATATCTCGTTGATGGTAATATTAATGACACATTTATTCTTAAATTTTGATTAAATTTTTATATAATATAAAAAGACTGAAGAACTTTTTCAATTAAGAATTACAGTAAAGAAGTCTTAGGTTGGTATTCATAATTGATTTTAATCATAATTAATTTCTTATTTCGAGACCGTCTTAAGTAATGTCTTAAGATGCTAATGCGGCCCTCTTATTGATTCATGACATCTCAAGACAGAACTTAAGACAGTCTTGAATATAAAAACCGACTATGAATACCAGCGGTAATACCATTAGGTTTCTGTCTTTTCTCAAGTTCACTTCCTTTAAACATTGCAAATTGAATAAAAATATAAAGCAGTCTTCGAATTTTGAATTGACGAAAGTTAAATAACGCGCGCGAGAATCGACAATAATCGATTATCCCGTCGTGCCTCGCGCGAGCAATTTCACGGTGATAACTGCGCACTCTTCTCTTCGAGAATGTCGAACGCGTCTAAAGTCACTTTCGGTTTATGTTGCATGACGTCCATCGGAATAATAGGCTACGTGTATTACAAGCAGTCTTACGACAGGTAGATATCGCGTTGAAAGACGTTTCGCTGTTCTCACAACTAACATTGGATTATAAAAACGTTTCAGGCAGCAACTGCACTTGGGTGTGATACGCGATATCGAACGACGAGAGCGCCGAAAGGCAGAAAATGTCTACATTCTGCAGCAGCAAGCCGAGTTAGCGAAGGAACTGCGCAGACAGGAGATACGAGAGAACGATACGTGACGATTGATGCGCGTAGTTGTTAGTCTGTTATTCGAGCATTTTCATAAGGAATAAAAGATCCGTGTGTAAAGTATTTCGTTCGGTTTATTTCACTTCATTTTGTATGCGCGTCGAGTATTCGTTGAAGCGTCCTTCGGAAAACACTAGAGTAAATTTACAGCTTTCTCACGTGAGCGTTATGGCAACTGACGAAGCAGCGGATCAATCGGGTAAGTTTGATGCTTTGCTTTATAGAAATGCATAAAAGTACTTGTCATTTTGGAGTGCTTTTGTCTCTGTTACGTATACATATTGGGGTTATAATCATACAACACAAATATATTGAAATATATTATTAACGTTACTTCTTTAAATGACTTTAATTTATTACTTTGTAGACAATTTTTTAACACTCAGTCATTATAATTATATATGCTGATTTTTAAGGAAAAAAAAGTCGATGTTATATCTAAATCATTGTATTCATAGTTCGTTCTTATTTTAAGACTTGATATTTGAACTATAAGAATCGACTATGAATATCAGCTTGTTGTTGCAAAATTTTACTATATGTGTAGAATATTGAATACTTACACTTCATATGCTGTTTTATCTATTTGTTGAGCTTTTATTTTATATAACAAAATAGAATAAGATACTTAAGTCTAATCAATGCAGCTTTATTTTCTTATATCTAAAATAGTACAAATTAATCTTTATGCTTTTATATCTACTAATTTTATTAATTAAATTTGAAACTAAACAGATTACATATATGTATATATGTATATATATATAATGTTTTTTAATATTATAATAAAAGTATTTCAACTGCAAAGAAAATAAAAATAGTTGACTCTTGTTTTATAGATTTGTCTTGCATAGAGGAGAGTCTCATGAGTCTAGAGAAATTGGACAGAGCATCTCCTGATTTATGGCCTGAGCAGAGTGAGTAAATTTTTTAAGGATTATTTATGAGTCATGTATACACAATACATCATATATGTAGCGAGCAATGAAGTTCCAGGTGTACATGAGTTTGTTGCTCAAAATTCACCGCAGACAGAACCATGTTTTTGGGCTGCGATGTCGCAGGATGACATAAGCCATGTGCATCGTGAGTTGATATGCTGCATAACATATAATTCTTCATCTCATTGCTAAATACCGTAAAATATTTTCTTGCAGAACTGGGTAATTTGTCAATGACCGGGCTTATCTCGGAAGTGAAAAGACTGCACGATTTAGCTTATCAACTGGGTCTAGAAGAGGCTAAGGAAATGACACGCGGCAAATATTTGAATATATTTAAACATAAATAATCAATTTTAGATTTGCAAAAAATAAAACTTGTGAAAATGCAATACTACAATCGGCATTCTTAAAAAACGTTTCGAGACGTTTTTTATATTTTTCTAACTTTAAGAATTTTCTGAAATCCACTTTGTATATCTCTGTACATTTACAAATGCAGACGGAAAAATGGTGCTTGAGTCACAACTAGACCCAAATGATAGGATTCCAACCTGATTAAAAAATAAAAAATGAAAAGCATAAATATGTGAACTACATCTGTAGTATATGTAAATATTTATGTTGATAACATACCAGGAAATACGTATCCGCATATTTGTATAACAGAGGACTACCGCTGTAACTTGAGCAAGGTTCACAGTTTCCTTTGGCGCATAATTCAACAGATAGAGCTTGGCTTATATAGTCCGAGCACTGCTGCTTAGGTACGAGTTCTAGTTGTAATGACTGTTGCGTCAATGGTTGCGCTGGATCACAGGGTTACAGCACTTGAACGTTACATAAACACAGCTTACAGTTTATGCTTTATGATAGTTTGTTCTATTAATACAATACCTTTTTGACCTAACAATTTTCCCCAGCCGACAACAGTGCATGTACTTCCTAGGCTGACGTATCTGTCTTCCGGTATAAAGCAGATTGGTTGAGCTGTGGCTGAAGAAGACCGGATTGCTATTTCTTCCCATAATGAGGCTGTGATCATCACAGTATCTTCGACTGTATATTTAAGAACTGTACATACCTGTAAATTCGATAGCCTTCT